CCACGCTCCTCCATGGAAAGGTTCTCTACTTCTGCCTGCACATTAACTATGGTTAAGGCTAAATCTGGTAGCTTGAAATTAAAATGTGGAAGTATTTGCAAACAAAGATTTCACGAAAGAGAAACTTACCAACGTCAAGAATAATATTGAGATAGAATGTGAACTAAAGGGCATAAACGAACATAATAGAATATTTTTCGATAGAGTACCTATTCACATATAATATCTTGCAGATTTCAGGCTAGCATTCCACCCAACAAACACAATTTTATTGGTTTCAATAGAGTACAAGTTTGTTCACATCGAGATCAAATAGAAACAGCAATCTTAAACAGCAACAATCGTAAGTAAACTAAATGGACTTAGTCAAAATGGCCTGTTTTTTGCATACCTGTAGACCGGCATAATTGTCATCGACATCCCCTGACCTTGAGACGTCAAGCCCCCTAATCAATCAATTACCCAAGTAATAAGTAGCATAACAAGAAAGGAATACTAACGAATAATAAACCGTGAAACTCCAAAGAATGTATGTAATAGTACATACTTCCACTGAATTCTGTTCTTAAGCTTCTTTTCTATGAGACCAATTCCTTCAAGGACATTTGTTATATCATATATTCGTCTTTTTTGTACCTATAAAAGTATAAAAATGTCAACTAATTGAGCTTCACAATAGAAGCCTATAATCTTCTAGAAGCATAGTAACCTCCAACGTGTCAGCTGCTTTATTCAGATCAAGAATACCATCTTCCGCTTGTTTGATCAGGTTAATAAACTTCTTTGTTAAGAGACCTAGATGAAAGTCACTAAAATTAGGAACATGAGCTGGTAGGAAATATAGGACAGCTACAACAAAGTCATCAGAAGTAACAAGCTACCAAGAGAACTATCATAACGGCATGGACCAGCTGGAGTAAGATTGTTGGCAGAAGGTGAACCTGAAACTTGGAGCATTTTTTCATTAATGTATTATAACTTTGTGAAAGAAAGAGTGGAAGAAATTGATTTTTTTTTCCCTCTAATTTACCAATGATGCAATTTCTTTAGCAAAAGAAGTTCTTTGAGAAGGTATTTTACATATGGCAATTTTAACTTAAAACCAAGGGTACCAACATGTATGATATACAACTTACCAACGTTTGACATGGGAGTCTGTGGCCCCGATCTACTGCATTTAGTAAGCCTTGATTTGTTTCCCTTTCCTCCTTTCACAGATACAGGTGTTTGATGGGGACTGTTAGCTACCTCAGTAAATCTAGGACCAGCTGCTCTATCGGTTGAGTCAGCTTCATAATCTGCTACCTCACTCTTCCGCTTCAATTGCTGGTAAAGAGGATCCAAGATTTCAAATAAGCATGGAAAAATATGCAATATACAGTATTGTACGTAAACTGAGAAGGAAAGTTAATGCAAGAAAATGATTAATATCAGAGAGCTTTAATAATAAAGAAAATAGAGACAAAAAATAAACAATAGTACAACATCTACCATTCCGACCATAAGTCTAGAAATCTTTGTCCTGAAATATAAATCAGATAGAACTAATTCTCAGTTGCTCCATTAACACTTGTCCGATGCAATTTGTTATACTATTAAACCTAAAGTAATTCCTATCCTAAGCAAGTCATCTAGAAAGAAGATTAATATCTGTTGCATCCATGGAACCCAAAGCATGTGAGGTCTTATCAAGCAGCGGCACAACTTGGTTTAGTTGCAAGCTTCAAGAACCAATGGTTCCTTTGCTTGTAGGTTGCAGCACATCCTCCCAACCAAAGCAAAAGAAAGCCTTTCAAACATCCAAAGATTTTGATAAGAGCAATTTTAAACTGATGTAAAGCAAGGGAACAAAAAATTTACTGAAGGTTTTAGTTCGAGTAGTCTAAAAGGAAGCTTTCAACAAATGAAATCCTAAGACCCACCAAGCGCTATTTAAACCTTGAGAATGTTTCCTCTCAAACCCTCAAATGGCTAAGAAAGCATGGGAAGAAAAGATCTTAGACTTGTCTCTGACTGGATGATCAACAAACAATAAAATCTTTAACAATGTATGGAAGGATCATTTGTCGCTGAGCTCAAGAATTATTATTTTGGTTATGCTGAGTGTACCGATTTTTTAAATTTAAAACATATAGATGAGAAGGATCAGGGTTGAGGCATGCAAAAGTCCTCCAATGGCCATTTTCACTTGACCAACCTTTCCACATAAGAAATTTGTATAAATGCCCCAAAATATCATAATATCAAAACTACCGCAATTTACAACAATAATGAACACTGAAAGATGCTATCCCATAATTATCATTAAACCTGTTAATACTGATCTAGTTTTCTATTTATTAAGTAAATGACAAACGTTTATAAAAATTGGATTGCCATCAGTACATAAAGGGTATATTTGAGAACAATGTTCTAAAAGATGGAACCATTCAAAGAAAAAAACAATAAACCTCAAATGAAAAAAACCTAGTTCAGTAAAAATAAACAAATAAAATAAAAATAAATAAGAAATCGCCCGTCCTTTCTCTATTATAGTGTAGTATGAAATATCCTACCATATAAATGATGCAAATCACTGGCATTCCACAAGTGTCTAGAATCTTGATTATGAAATCAAGATAACAAGTATGGAAAATATTCTTGATAGACTACACCATCAGGAGTACAAGAGTCTAGGTTATTCAAACGATGCATAATAGCAGTTCAGTTAAGTTTTCAGAATAATCATTATAAAACTTATGATAGTAGCCTAAGAATACAAAAATTAATGACCAAGGATGATCAGTAGATGCAGCCCTTAAAAGAATTGGATGGCACCTACAACCGAGGAAAATGGAATGTATTTCTTGCTGGCCCTTTTTACCACTGAACCACAATTATTTAGATGATATCCAAGGTTGAATATATAACTCACAATAGTACTGCACGACTTGATCAAGTCATCTAATACCGTTATGATGTCATCCCTTGAGATAGTTACTTCCAGTATTGTTTGTTCATATCCAGCATCGGTGATGTACTATAATCATAATTGAGAACTTTCTATTGAAGAAACACATCCTTTACTAGATTTAGCATATTTTCTTTAGAAAATCATAATGAAATAAATCTCACAAGTATCATCTATTTGCATCAAGGTTCTAACACTGTGGCAACAAACTTGTCGCTTGCCTATATAGGAAGAGGTGGGGGGTATCGTCCATCTTGGCAGCCTCTAGTATTGGTTGACAACAGTAAATCCTTCAAGTTCATAGAGACAAACGGTGCATCATCTACCAATCTAGATACAGGACGAAAGCAATCTATTACCCTTGCATTTAAACTAATCAACGTACCCAATGACCAAAAGGACCAAATACAATGCAGTGAAAAGTAGTTTGCTCAGGGAAAATTAAGAAGTTCTGAGAGAGAACGAGTTATAGTAATCAACAAATGCACTGGTTGAGAATGCAGGGAGACTGAGATACTCAATACACTTTTCTAGATACAGCAGGAAGACACGAATTAAAGGTGATAACAGCGTAATTCATCTAATTCAGTCACACAAAACACCCTGGAAAAAGAAAGTAACCGAAATTGAGCTAAAACTCGAGGTCTTCTCGGTGCAGTATTCGAAGGGCACATTCTCAATCTCATTATGACCAAATCACTGAAACTAACTATTTTCACTAATCTCAGCTAATTCAATTCATGAGATCCGCTTAAAACCTACTAACCAAATAATTTTCTATTTTACACTAGAATCACAAACACAAGGGTCCAAAAATACTACTCAGTGAGGAGAACAATAAGTAATCAACGAAATATGCGTGTAAAAAAACAGCAGAAGCAAACTCACCGGAGATCTGACTACGATGGCGTCAGCTTCTTGATCGGCGAGTCGAGGGTCCGGGGCGAAGCGGTGATAGTCCCCAGGAGATGCAAATGGCGGTTTCAAAGAAGAGAAGGGGAGCTGGCGCTTAAGAGAGTGCATGATCTGCTCAGGAAGGTGTCCAGAGGAGTTAGGAGCTCTAGAACCCGACATGGAACAGCCTCAAAGAGAAGGGCGAGCAGAGATCGAGTAACCTCTTGGTGTGCTGCGGATTTGGGTACGAAGGTCAGAGAAAGAGAGCAAAAATGGAGGGAGTTTGGGGTTTTAGGTGCAATTGGGGAAATTGATAGAAATAGAGGAGGAACGGAATTGGAAGAAGAAGAAGAAGAAGAAGAAAAAGATCTGCGTGTTTGGATTCTGAGAAAATGGAGAAAAGCGGGAGAGATTCAGAGAGAAAATGAGAGCAGAAAACGAGGGAAGGTTGAAAGGGAGGGAACTTGGTTCGGATATAGATGTGGAGGGAAGGAAGCGCTTATTAAAAAAATAAAACAAATAAAACAAATAAATTTATATATATTTAATATTTCAATATGTCTTTTTTATATTTAATATTTCAAATAAATTTTTAAACCAAAAAACGCCAACTTACCCAAGATTAATTAAAGCCATCAAGGTTGTTTTCATCGATTATCTCTTAATTCCATTTAATTAACAAATTCTATATTAAAAATGGATTAATTAACCAAAACTGCACGGGGACTGGAATTTACGAATTATGCATAAATATGCCCAAATCTAAGTGGACTTCCATCAAGTAAAAAAAAAAAAAAAAACGTTCGAATCGGCGATGCGCGCCTTTTGTTGGGCAAATTGAGTGGCGATTATTTGGCGCGTAAGCCGTCCCCATCACCTAATAAACTCGTTGCATTCCACTCTCATTTCACCGTCACTACACGCCAACGTTTGCTCAACAAACTTGGGCTCTGGATAATGGGCTTTTAACAGGCCCAAATTTTAAATGGGCTTTCTGCTTTACGTCTGATCCATGAAGGAATCCACCTTGTTATTCCCAAATATAGAATAACTTTTTGTTTCTTTTTGAATAATTAATTTATTCATTTCATTTTTACCTTTTAAAAATATTCTTTTAAAAATATTCCCAACTAAAATTTACTAATAAAGAACGTGATTTTCAAGTGCAGTATAATCTTGAAAGTTCATCCATGGAGATAAGTATGGCATTACAAACATCAGTTTTATTCCATAATTCCTCGCTATCAGACATTGCTAACCGGCAACTGTTTGATATAAACAGAATTACCTCAAATGGCAAATGGCAGAAGATACACAAAACTTGACATTGGTACACTTTCAAGTTGCAAGAGAATGCTATTTGAGTAACCGTGCGAGATCAGGATCATCTAAACTCACGTCCAACCATCCGTTCAAGCGCATGAACTCTATGTAGTGATCGGGAGGCTTCACGGCACGAGGGTTTCTTGGGGTGAAGCCATGAATCCTCTCGACATCCCGTGCGAGCCACCTAATATATGCTTGGTCCAAAGGAGGCACTATCTTCAACATTTCATCCCTTCCTCCTGATTGCTTCGCGGGTTTGTTTCCCATGTAGGCTTACCAGAGAAGCTGAAAACCAAAAACTTATCTCAAGGCATAAACCAAAGACAATTAGGAAATAAAAAAGAAGCTAAGAGACTAATTAAATTCTCAAAACAAAAGATTTTTACATGTTCATATGATAAAGGCTCTTCATAATTTATTAAGCTGTGCACAGTAATGACGGTTGGATCAAAAGAACTTCAAATTTGACAGTAAGCATCTGAACAAGCAATTAAGTGGGAAGTTCCAGAAACATACCACTACGCTGGCACGGATGAACATTAAGAACAAGTCACAAGTCAGTCGTAATAATAGCATCTAATAACATGAAAGGCTTGTATTGTTGTGTGTAAAGAAAAAGAAGGATTCATGGCAGCTCAGATCTAAAACACTTGATATTAGAAGTTGTTGGTGATTTTAGTAAGAGAAAGGTATTATACAGCAAAACCAACCGCATCAGAAAGTTTTTGAATGTTCACAAAATCTGGAGTATAAGTAAAAATAAGGTTTTACCCATCAAGCTAACATAACATACAAAGACAATCATAAACAAGGGAGTAAAGAAATGAAACGAACTCATGAACGGTGCGGAGTCTGAGAACATCTCAATTCAAGAGATGGTCAGATGGAAAACAGCCAATTATCAAGAAAACAATGTCTACACTACATTTCAACAATTGTCAAACAAACATGTAATTAGCCACCGGAGATCTCATGATGTAAGATCTCAAGCCGGTTAGAGAGGGGAACAAAACATTCCTTATGAGGATGTGGAAACCTTTTCCTAACATACGCATTTTAAAATCGTGAGGCTGACGACGATACATAACAGGTCAAAGCGGACAATATCTACTAGCATTGGGTTTGGGCTGTTACAAATGATATAAGAGCTAGATACCAACCGGTGTGACAGCGAGGATGCTGGCCTCCAAGGGGTGGATTGTGAGACCTCGTATTGGTTAGAGAGGGGAATGAAGTATTCCTTATAAGGGTGTAGAAACTTCTTCCTAACATACACGTTTTAAAACCGTGAGGCTAAGGGCGATACATAACGGGCAAAAGTGGACAATATCCGTTAGCGATATGCTATATCAGGACCAGCCTGCCTACCAGTGCATGACTTCACAGATATGAACCACAAGAAAAGCAGATTCAGAGTGTAAATTAATTCCAGAATAGTGTGTTGGAGGGGAGTGATAGGCCACAGTGAGCATTGAGTAACCAAACACCCTCTGGCTAACCCTGATTTCAAATGTGCAAATAGCTTAAATTCTGACAGCCTCGCAAAGCAAAACGAACGAAATGACATCTCCCAAATCCAACCAGGAAGAATCAAATTTCCCAATGTTGCAACCAACCGAACTTCCTAAAGCCCTAACCCAATGCCATACAATCTCATCGCTACATATAAACTATGATTGGCACAAAATTATGAATCCATGCATATCAAATTCCTTTCAAATCTAATTAATCAAACCAAAAACTGGATTTCCAACTACAAGAAACGAAGCACGAGAAAACAGTTGAATTAGAGTAAAATTCTCCTAGAAAGCGCTAGATTCTGACTGGAAAGAGAAAGAAAAGAGAAGCCATAAAGTAAATGATACTCGATACTTGAATATTTCTTGCAGATAACACAGACGGTGGTTAGTTCTAAATGGGCGTATGGATTCTTTTCTTCGCCATCTGAATATTCTTGACAGCAAGAAAAGAGAACGAAGAATCTGGAAACTGTGGCACACCCAAAAAGGACAACGAAAAACCACCACGAGGAGGAAGGAAGAAGATTCAGTACTCACCTTAGCCGTAGCTCGATTGGCGGTGTGCAAAGTGACGAGAATGGACGTCGCACGGTGCCGATTCTACGGTGCGCATTTTTATCTGTCGAATTGGAAGACAAGCGCAAGTGAAAAGACAATTTCACCCTTCTTCTTTATGTCATTTTATTCCTTTTCTTTTTCTAAATTAACTTGTACATTAAACCATCGGATCTTTGTTATTTGGTCCACGGAAAAAGTCATTGAAGATAATTATATTTTATTGGTTCAAACGAGGTTAGAAACATATATTTGATATATTTGATACTGTGTTCTTTGAGTATATACTTTTGAGACTGTCTTATATTAGAATAGATATGGTTGATAACGCGGTGTTAGGACAATAATTATATTAATTTTCGAGAGCTTTTTCACTATTAAATTTTCCAATGACACATGTTTTCTTGCAACTTAATTTTAAAAGAAAAAAAATAGTAAACTAAGCATAGGGATAATAAGATAAAAATGGGTTGAATGAATTAAGGTGATCAGACTTCAACGTTGCAGCTTTGGACAATCTGGAACTTCATGGCAGAACCCACAGCGATGGCGTGGTCAGGGTTCCTAAATTTAATAAACGCGGGACAGTTAACGTTCAAATGGTACCTCCCCGAAATCCAGGTGCCAACCTTCCACTTCACCTGCCCGTCTATTTTCACATTGAACAACACCGCCCCAACGTTCTGGTCCTGCTGCAAGGACAAGGCCACGTCAGGGGCCACGGGGACGGCATCGCCACTAAGGAAAGGGGACCAAACGACGACGTCTCTGTGGCCTTGGTATGTGGAAGGGAGGAGAGTCGGAAGAGTGAGCTGCTGGCCACGGTATGCGCCATAGACATCCATGGTGACGTAATAAATGCCGATGCGGTCGTTGGGGTTGTGGGAAGAGATGGTGACTTGCATGCTGAGGGACAAGAGATTTGGGGAGGATGAGGCGTTGAGGCCGAAAACGGTGACGTCTTGGAGGATGAAATTGGGCTTTGTGGGGCGGAGGACGGCCCATACGATGAAGATGACAATGCCCAGGATGATGATTAAGGTCAGGACCACGATGCCGAGGCGGCGGAGGAATTGTTGGTAGTCCTCGTCGTGGTGGGCGCTTTCCTTGTCCTTGGCGCTCATATTGGTGAAATGGGAATAATAATGTGCAAGTAAAACTGGTAAAACAGGGGTATTTATAAGAAGAGAAGGGGTGTGTGAAGCAAAGTGGGAGCAGAAGAGACGAAGAAAAGGGTATATACAATATGCAGTTGGTGGATATGGAAGTATATGCTTGTTCATGGGCTCCAAAATGCGCTACCTCATCTCTCAACAAAAGTAGCCTATATTCTAAATTATTCCGCCACTACGGAGTAAGATCAACTATTAGGGTAATAACTCAAACACGTTTACTTCGACGTTGTCTGCCTCGCGATTTTAAATATCATACTAGGAAGAAGTTCAAACATTCCTTTTTCCAACCGACGTGGAATTTCAAAGTCCACCTCCCTCGAGAACCCAATGTCCTTGGTGACACACTCTGTTAGAGAGAGATTTATACACCTTTATAAATAATTTTAGTTCTCCTCTCAAATCTAGGTGGGATCTCAATTTTATCTGTTTCAATTTGGTGATTATAAAACATGTTTTTCCTAAAATAGGGCGTTACCATTAGCTAAAGAGATATTTGTACAAAATTTTTATAAAAATGAGAAAGAAGATATTGGAAGAATCATAAATAAGAGTAAGGCTAAGACAACTAGTGGAATAAAATAAAGTGTACCGAAAAGATGACAACTCTTCACCGTCAAACAGATTCCAAATAAAGCAAAAAAAGGAGACGAAAACAATTTATGTAAAAAAAAAAAAAAAAAAAAAAAAAAAAAAAAAGTATTTAACCCACGAAAATTAGAGAAAAATATAGAATAACTTTATAATTATTTAAACCAAGTTCTTTTCTAATATTATATTTTTTTTAATAGAGAAAAGATTTAAACCCTTAACTTTAGTGATCCATTTAAAATTTGAGAACTATTATAAAAGATATCTCATTATTGTATAATTATTTTTTAACAAAAAAGAATCCGTTTCTACCTCTAAACTTAAGAAATTTCGAGTGAAGCATGAGCAAGTGTAGAGAAGTAAAGGTCTAATGGGAATGAGCAACAATGAGAAGATGAGATGCTCCGGACACCCCATTTAAAAAGAAGGTTGGAAGGTTTTGGGCTTCTAGTTTTCGTTTGCCCTTCATCAGGTAGTGCTTGTGTGTGGAGTGTGCTACCAAAAATCGAACTTAAAGCTCTCGCCTTACCAACGAGCTAACAGATAATGGTTGTTGATCACGATTACTACAAAAAAAAAACTCGAATAAAGATGAATATTTCACATGGAAGAGTGCACATCTTTATCTTTACACTTTCATCTTCGTCAAATTTGGTCAGACTTAAAGAAAAAAGATATTAGAGTAAAATTGTAACACTTTTTACAAAGTTTAAGGTTAAACTTATGACACGACAAGTCACATGTGCATTTATCAGCCTGGAAAACATCAAATAATCCAAAACCTCACATGGTTTGTCCATCCAAAATGTAATTTTAGAGAGCAAATCTGCTAGGTTTTGAATTGAACTGTGAAATAAATATAGGCATAAATCTTGTATAGTACACAAAGTTGTCCATTTCCTGCTGAGAGAAGCATCCAGACATAGCACAACACTCATTCCAAGGCTTTCAGAAGCTTACTGTCATTGGCCAATAATAATATCACCCAAATAGCGTCCTATTATTAGCATTTAGAAGTTAACAACATAACATCACCATCGTTAAATCCTCTAACATGAATAATAGAAACTACTGATATGATGATCTATAAAACTGATCCAAAACTAGGCAGCAATGTAATGGATTATCATTTCATTCAATAAAGTCATGTCCCTGTCCCTGTCCCTGTCTCTATATTGCTTGGGCACCAGTGGTAAACACCACCATCCCTAAGTTCTAACTCAAACTCGTGGGCTGTTACTGTTAGAACAATCAATCTCACATCTGTAGCCAAACAAAGAAGGCATATAAACACTAAGCCATGGATGAAATTGTATGTTCAATTCAAGGAAGCAAGTTAATACGGGCATCCAGATTTGAGCTTCTTATTGCTACCAACTAATGGCACCAATATTAACCATTAAACCACACCACAAAGAATAGAATAGAATCGAGGAGACATTAGTCGGTCAGATTTCTGGATAGAATTGTCCACCTGGGGAAGTTTTGTTCAGAGAGCTAATAAACCCGTGTTCTCTCTTCTGTCCATGGCATACAGACAGCATCACTAAACCTTGAATCTGGAAAACTCAACCATATTCTACTTTTTTTAGAAGTTTGAAACTAACCAAGCATGATTTGAGGGCAACACATTCAAACCGAGGTGGGTGGCAAGAAATTTATGGGAAGAAATTACTACGAACTCTCGGCTTTTAGTAGCCAGAGGAAAAGAAAGCAAAAGCGATTCCCGTAGTAGCGAACTGTAACGCCCAACTTCCAGGTCTATAAGCATACCCAACAAACCAACCAACGACCAACTTCATTGTAACAACTATACCCCACCGCTGTCAGATATTGTCCTATTTGGATTTTCCCTTTTGAGCTTCCCCTCAAGGTTTTCAAAATGTGTTTTTATAGGGAGATGGAGGATCTCACAAGTCACCCCCTAGGGGGGCTAGCGTCCTCGCTGGCAACCGCCAAGTGTCTTGCTCTAATACCATTTGTAACAGCCCAAGCTCACCGCAAGCAAATATTGTCCACTTCGACCCATTACGAATCGCCATCAGCCTCACAGTTTTAAAATGTGTCTACTAGAGAGAAGTTTTCACACTCTTATAAGGAATAAAGGAATATTTTGTTATGTGGTCTCACATTCGTTTACTGAGCTTATCCACCCCTCTTATCTACCACTTCTAGGCTGGCACCTACCAAGGCCTAACATTGGAGAACATTATTCAAACGAGAAAAAGAATGAATTACTTTCTCAGTAAGAAGCGTTCTCCAGCTACTCCGTAAGGATCTTCATCAGTAATTTTGGATTTAAGCAGCAACAAATAAGAGGCACTCACTGAGTCAATGAAGGCTTGTGCAAATGTATTACTAGAGAATGATACTAACTTAAAAGGATGAACCAAAGAATATTTCGAACTCCTAAAGTGAAACGGAGCATTAAATCTTAGTAGAGAATTGCTCCAATCACTGTAAGTACCTCCGCACTTGTAAGATTAAACCCGCCACCAAAAGAAGCAACAAAATCAAGCCTTATGTAAGCACTCACTCAAAACAGGTAAAACCATTAGCACATCACTCTTTCTCCGAATTGGTGTCAAAGCCACCTATTTATGCAATGCACATATCCTTAGAATTTCAGGACAATGATTCTTAGTATATTCGAATGACATTTCACATTTCCTAGGGAGTTAAAATATATATTGGACATGGCCTTAACGTACAACCCTTTCAAGAATGCAAAAGCCCTACTATGGAAAAACTTCATCATGGCTTTCTTTTGGAATGTGTGGAAAGAAAGAAATCAAAGAATATTCGCAGAAAAGACACATGTTGTTTACTAAGCTATAATTAACTGACTTCCTCCCTCGTTACAAATTGGAAAAGTCTTAACAAGCATGCACCTAATCACTTCAGAAATAATAACTTGGGCGGTAACAATCATGGTATGCACTGAATTGCAATAAGCTAAATCGAATATCGTCTAGTGAAGAGACTAAAAATGTTGTTCATATCCTGTCTGCAGACACTAACAGATATTCTCCATTTTTTTACAGTTCCCTCAGTTCAGGATCCAAGATTGATACATCTCAATAAAAGAAGAAACCATTTTCCTTATTCCAAAAGGAGGAGATAAGATATCGACATCAGAATCAGATAGCAAAAATTGTATTATAAGCTATACACAACCTCCACTTAGAGACTACTGCTACTCACTCATAGCCTAAAATCCATGTACATTTACGCCTACATGAATTCCTCATATGGGTTAAGTGGTTTTAAATCAAGCACCGACTATAACAGCAGAAAATCACTCATATACCCACTCTGCAGGCCCTTGGTTCACCCATCAACTTACCGGAAGTGCTGCTATTCGACGACGACAGGCCAACCGACAGGTCCTCGCACAGAACCCTAAGCAATCGTCTCCTGGTCCTCCACCAACCCGCTCGGAACCCGACACGAGCCGAGACCACCACATTGAATTGGACGGTCCCTCGTCGGCGGTCGTCGTTAATTTCATTCACAGACGAAGTTTCGATGTAGGCATTAAGAGCGGAGAGAGTGGCATTAACAGCCGTTTGAGTCCTCTTATCCTGGGTGAATGGAGGGACTCGAGTCTGGGAAAGGAACTCATTCTTGTAAAAGACGGTGGGTTCGACGATGTCGTAAGAGATGGTCATCTTCTTGTTGGGATTAAAGACGGAAAGCCCGACAAACCATAAGGCGGAGAGGGACTGAGAGGCGGCGGAAAAGTTGGTAACCTGAAATGAGTCGACGCGAAACTCAGGAAGTTGGGGACGGAGAACGAGCCAGATTATGAAAAGAATGATGGCGGTGATGATGAAGACGACGATGATTCCGGCAATAATAGCACGAAGAAATGAGAGGCGAGCATTCTGATGGGTAGAATCGTAGGGGTTGGCGTAGTGGGTGGGATAGGAATAAGGAGGAGCAGCGTAGGGATAGGCTTGGCCATGAGGCTGAGAATTGGAGGGCGGCGGCCGGCCGTTGGGGTAAGCAGGATAACCAGTGACGGGTCTAGAGGGATCTGCCATGGCGGATCCGATCTTTGTTTAGCAGAGAGAGTAAGAGAACTAAGAATTAAGAGGTTGAAGAAGATGAAGACATAAGTATAGGGTTCCAATGCTGTTTCCGGGAATTTTCTGCGCCAAATCTTACCAATTAAGAGAAGAATTTCCTGAATTTATATATAGATATTTATTTTTTCTAGGACTGTGAAAATAAAGTAGTGGCAGTTAAGCCAGTGTGAAAAAAAAAAAAAAAAAAAAAAAAAAAAAAAAAAAAAAAAAAAAAAAAAAAAAAAAAAAAAAAAAAAAAATCTAAATCTAAATCTAAATATTTAAATAAACAATAATTTGAGATTGATTTGT